TTGACTAAATTAATGAATTTAACAACTACACAAAGGACAAATGGCAGTTTGAATCTCTTCAAAATTCCTGAAGTGTAATTTTACAATACATAACAGAAGTCTTAACTATATACGCAGTAATTTCACTTCTAGAAACTTATCTTATTGCAGAGTTTCCCAGGCTGATGTAAATAAAATGTTATTCCAGAGTATGAGTAGGTATGTAGAAAACAAGGAAAAGTATGTGAAAAAGGTTTCTTCTGACCTGCTGTCGTTCTCAGACTTGGTTGCAAATTGTACTTCTCTGAAGGGTTTCAAAATATATTGATGCATGAGTTTCACCTTCAGAGACTCTGACTTAATTGATTTGGACTGGTTGTCCCTTCTTGTCATATCAGCAGCCTATGATGATTATTACTGAGATCCATCAATTCATTAGGGGCTGTAGGTAGTAATCTTATTCACATCTCTGGGCCTGTATTGTTTTCATATACAAAATGAAGGGGTTAGAGTACATTATCTATAAACATACTTCCAACTGAGACATTCTATTCTCATATGAGAAATGCTCTCATTTATGGGTTTGTAGGAAGTATTTGCTGTGTTTTCATGATGATTCACTGGTATATGTGTAGGTGTGCATGTATGATATCTAAGTACCACTCAAAGGCCCCAAATACCTCTGAATATTATCACATTGGGGACTCAATTTTAACATATGATTTGTCAGGGGGACACAAACATTCAGTCTATAGCAACATAGTACACTGGGAAGTATCAAAAAGTAGTAGAGAGTAACCCTTTCTGAAGCATTTAGACATAAAATATAAAAAGAACTTTTGATCCTACAGAACCCTTCTCATGCTCTATTTGTACATTTTTCTCCAATATCCCTTTAAATATGAGGGCTATGATGTATACTCTAATTAGATACATGTTTCACCAATAAAGAAATAATTTTGTTTCATTAGTTTTGAGTTAGTTCAGTTGCCAATATCTTGTTTTTCTTCAGATGAATAAACAATAAAGTTATGCAGCTATTTACGTATGGTCTACTTGAAAAAACTTTTTAGAACACAGAAGCCAGAGTTCTTCACTCTATCATTAAAAAGATAATACAGCTGAGTTGAATTAACCCATTTAGGGATGCATTTCTGCTCAAAAGAAACTACAAAATTATTCAATTTCATTGTCCCCATACAATCAGAGACATTAGAGATCAGATAAAATGTTATTGCACTTGTCACTGTAAGCTACAAATCCCTAAAAATTGAGTCACTCACTTAACCAAAAAAAAAAAAAAGTGTTTTTCAGGACAAATAACCTGTTTTGTAAAAAATGTTATTGCATGTAACAGTCAGTTTTAAATCCTAGCTGCATAAGTTACTATAAGAAAATCTATTTCACATATTTTAATTATTAAATAATATATTAATAAGTATAATGAGCTTATCTGTAAAATGCCTAGCACATAGCAAATGCTCCATGTGTGTTAATAGTTATCATTATAGGGATGGTTTGTGTGACTATTGTTGGAAACATTACTAAACATTACTTATGAGTCTTTTGGTTAAATATTTTTAGGGATATTAAGAAAAGACCTTTTTTTAATACCTTGCCAGTTATGATAGAAAGTGGACTATCTTTATTCTGTGAAAACACTGTAGTTCTTGTTATTTTTTATTGTTAATTTCACCACACAAGATGTATCAAATGTTACCTGTTTTATTTATTTTGTAATAGTTTTAAATTGATGGATAGTACAAAGAAAGTGAAAATGAACTTTGTGACCCCAGAAACCAGAACCTGGAGTGACCATAGGTAGTGAGTGGTAAGAAGGAATAATTATAGGAAAACCTTTGTCCATGAGGACCCAGACGACTGGAACCTTCTGCTCAAGATTCTAGTGGATGCCCTCCAACATTGTACTGGGTCTCATTAAGCAGTATCTCATTTACATGGAGTAATGGTGTTGAGTGTCTGAGCATAAACCTCTCATCATCTTGGAATAAATTTGTTTGGGCTATGAAAATGAGGAGGCCTGAAGAACAAGTCTTAGGAGGAAGCAGACCGTCTTGTGAATATAGTAAAGAATCAGCAATATAATCATTTTGACCTAACTGGCTGGGACAAATGTTGGCTTTTTTTGTTCACTTCACTAATATTAGGTAATATTAGGAAAGCTTATCTGAGTGGCAACACTTGTTCTTCTGGACATTCCCTTTTTATTTTTATTAGCTACCACCCCCGAGGAGTGATTTTGGGGTAGTTCAACTGGCCTGGGTTGAAGAGTTTGTACACTGGCTACACCATCTCATTTCTCTAGGATGTGTTTAGTTTTGGTAAATGAGAAAGCACGTGGTTGCCATTTCCTTTCTGAGAACTGCTAGTTAGCAGGGAAGGAAATAGATATTTGGCTCTGCTTCTGTCCTGTGCGAGAAAGGGGGAGGGCTGGGCTGCTCTTCTGAGCACCAGCTTCTGCTTTTGTGGGGCTTGTTTCATAACTGCTTTGTTTTTCTTTATAAATGTCAATAAAATTGGTCTGAACAGCCATACCTAATGCCCTTTCTGAGAACAAATGGCTGAGGCCACAATTGTGGCCAAAGTATTGGCACAATTCTGCTCAACATTCTTAATTAGTTTTCTGTCCACTGTTAATCTTTTAAAGATCTTGCCAAACCAAGGTCTGATTTAAATATTACTTCTATGAAAATTTAAAAAAATTTTTTGCCCATGTTGAAGAATATAGCTTTGGGGAAGAATCCAACTGAAGTGTCAAGTCCTCTCAGATAATCATGGTAGAATTAGAACTTCTGATTAGGACTTTTGGAGTCCTAAGGCTGAATGTTGTTCTGCCAACCTTAGGACTTTGTTATTTTTTTATTTGATATTGAAAGCATGTTTTAAAATATTATTTCATACCGCTTTCCAGCATTACATCAGTGTCTTTGGCCCTTTGGCCACATTTGATCATGAAATGGAAGCTTCTGCTTCCTTAGTATTGTCTTGACCCTCCTGCTGATGTGATTTTGAAACAAGTTTCATATCTATAAATCTGAGGCATTAATATATCTATGCCATTTATTTGCAGATATTTGGGAAGTGGTGGTTCATCTAAAAATATTCAGAAAGAATCAAGAAAAAATTAAGGCTTCTGCCATGAAAATTCTGTAACATTCTTCATTTCTGTTACCATCAAAAATAGTTAATTAGGTGGTTCTTTAAAGCCCTAAAAGATACACCTTACTGCTAATGCTTTATTTCTTCAATGTGCTTTTGACTTTTGTAGTTTCACCACTGCAATTTAAGTCTAAAGATTACCTTTAGGATGGAGGGCTCTGGGGTCAAGACTGCCTAGATTCAAAACCCAGTTTCACCATCTCTAGCTGTACAGTCTCTGGTGAGTTTCATTATCTGTAAAAACGGAGATAAAAATCAGCAGTCAAAACAGCATGGATGAAAAGATTAACCAGTTTAAGCTGTTGTTTTTCTTTCTTTTTTTTTAATAATAAAAATAGGTAGGGGGAAAGTACTTGCTGAATGTCTAGAATTTGTTATGCAACAGTTGAATAATTTATTTATAGCCCATGTAATCCTCTGAGGAAGACATTCTTCTTTTGTCCAGATGATTAAACTGGAAATCTTAATCAAATGTCTAAAGGTCACACAACTAGTAAACAGTTTGAGCCCAGGTTTGTTTCTCAAAGTATTCTCTTTTCACTACATGACATAAAGAAAACTTTATTCATCTCCCTCCCCACTGTCCCAGGTTATAATGTTTCAGGGTTTCCCATGCTGTTATATAATTTTTTTGATATATGAAAAGAAGTTCATGACTTCATAGCTCATGAAAAGGCATGAAGAAAATTTAAATGGCTATTACTACCAAGCGAAGGAAGCCAATCTGAAAAGGCTACGTACTGTATAATTCCAATTACATGACATTCTGGAAAAGTCAAAACTATGAAGACAGTAAAAAGATCAGTGGTTGCCAGGACTTTGAGGAAAGGAAAACAGGTGGCATATATATTTGGGGGCAGTGAAACTACTCTGTACACTATAATGCTGAACTTTGGGTGATAGTTACGTGTTAGTGTAGGTTCATCAGCTGTAACAAATGTACCAGTCTGGTGGGGGATATTGGTAATGGGGGAGACTAGGTATATGTGGTGCTCATGAGTATATAGGAAATCTGTCCCTGCATCTACATATTTCTGTGAACCTGAAACTGCTCTAAAAATTAGCCATTTAAAAAAAATGTAGAGAAGAAAAGCAAATGGGTGTAACCTGAGAGGGCAGGGGTAATGAAAAATAAGTTTATAAAGGAACATAACTATAACACCTTGTCTATCTGCCTAATTATTACAGAGTGAAAAATGCAAGACCAGGTCAGCAAACTTTTTCTGAAGTCCTGCTTGCTTACAAGTAGCTGGGTGACCTACCTCACCTTTCCAGATTTCAATTTAAAGATGGCTTAAATGAGGTGGTTGAATTGATCTCCAAGTTCCCTCTGGTCCTAACATTCCAGACTGGCTACTAAAGACCCATCCTTTCCTTTCTCCTTCAACCCGACCAGTCAGTGGACAGCGCACTTTTTGACTGCCCACTCAGTCCTAAACGCAACCACTCCCGGTGATTGCGGGACTAATGCACCTAGGTAGAGGACTGAACTCGGGGAGAAAAAAAACAGACAAGAAAACCCAAGATTGATAGCGCGTGGCAGAAGCACACAGAATGAAGACTAGACAGGGCAAAGCGGACGCAACGCGCAACGGCGGAAGCGGGAACAGGGCGGGGCTGTGACCAGAGCCGATTGGTAGGCTAAGGGGGCGTGGCCCGCGCTGACAGCGGGGGAGGAGCCAAGTAGGTTTGCGGGCGTCTCTAACCTGTACTCAGCCCTTCGCTTCCCATCCCCCTAGGCCGGTCTGCGGGGAGAGGGGCGTGCCGACGCCACATGACGTCATAAGGGGGAGGGGCATCTGGAAGGTTCAGCCAGCGCGCGGGCGCGTTCGGCAGTCGCTGTTTGGGACAGTGGGTGCGCTGAAGCTTGCTCTGTGCTCCCGGTTCGCTGTGACAGGCGGTCCCTTCCCAGATCTCGGGACGGATTGGGCGCGCGCCCATGTGTATGTGAGCGGGACTCAGGGCAGAGGTGTCCCCTCGCTGTCTTTTTTTCCTGCCTTTTATCCAAAGAAGGGGGCAGTTCGCACGCTTGCCTTCCTGTCCCCCGTTGGGAGCGGGGTTGGTGTGCGGAGTGGTTCGTCTTTTTTCCTTTTAAAGTTCTGAGCGCTTTATTTTTTAATTTTTATTTTATTTTTTTAAGGCTAAGCCACCTGGGCTGGTTTCCTTGGTCCCTGACTAATCGCTTTCTGCCCCTTCTCTTGCCACCCCCGCCCAAGGTCGCCCCTCTGCCCTGGTCCCTGGCCCGGGAGGGTGGGAAGCTTTGTCCCACTCCCTTTTCACACGCGTCTCCGCAGCCGTAACCGCACCCGCCTCAATATGAATGGGGTCAACGACCCCCCACTTTTTATAAAAGATATTAAGCCCGGACTGAAAAACTTAAATGTCGTCTTTATTGTCCTGGAGATAGGTAAGTGGGGCCCGCAGCCCAGTCCACCGCCCTTCCGGCCGCCCCTGTGCCTCGCGGGGCAAGAGGGAAGGGCGCAGCCGCCGCGGGCTGAGGGATCTCCCTCCTCCTCCTCCTCCTCCTCCCTTCCTTTCCCTTCCCCCGCCCACGTGGTATTGGTACCCCCCCACCCCACCCCACCCCGGGCTTGGATATTGGGGTGAGAACCTGGGGCTCGACTTCTTCCAACCTTTCAGATGCGCTTAGATCTCAGAGCAGGAGTTACCGAGCCTTTCTGGAAGTCTCCATTAACTAATACACCCCCCTGCCCTCTTTTGGTTTTTAAATCTTCACAGGACGCGTGACCAAAACCAAAGACGGCCATGAAGTGAGATCATGTAAAGTGGCCGATAAAACGGGCAGCATCACTATTTCCGTGTGGGATGAAATCGGAGGTCTCATACAACCAGGGGATATTATTCGATTAACCAGAGGGTAGGTTTGCATAAAAGTGGGGGATGGGGGGGAGTGCTTTCTAAGGTGCAGTCTGTGGAATCGGGATTGGCTGACTGACGTCCAGGACTCTGGCAAGTTCTGAAGTTCCATGTCTATTCTATGGGCCACTCTCGAGGAGTTGTGAGACTCTTCGATATTAATTTCGGGTGGTGGGCAGCATTGGGATGTAGCAGCCTTGCCTTTAAAAGCAGTCATTTCAAAACTCTGGCCTGGTAGTTCAGTTGGTTAGAGCAAGGAAGGGATAGCCAAGTTTGAGGGTTGTATCCCCGGTCATTGGTCGAACAACAAATGGGTGTTCCTTCCCTCTCCTTCCCTACCCCCCTTCTTCGCCCCCCCCCCCCCCCCCCCCCCGCCCAATCAGTAAAGTTTTTTTTTTAAGCAGTCAGTTTCAGCCAGGAATTGACCCCTGCCACCCTCCTTAGTTTACAGGTTACGTTTTAAAATACTGTTTGGAGATTATTGAGTCTAAAGTAGATTGATGATATTAACATAGTATTTTGTCTTTTTTCATAAATTATTTAATGTAATATAGTTGTCAGTTTTTTCTCCCTTTTAATGACTTTTGAAATCCTGTCAATATTTCACTTGTGCGTATTTTACTTAGAGGGGAAGTTTAATCTGCAAGGCACGTTCTCAAAAATGACTTTTTGTGCCTGCTGCTGTACTGTAAGATCAATGTAGTATGAAAACCAGAGTGATACTCAGAAAATGTTCGGCAGAAAGACATTTATATCTTCATCCAAAAAAGTCACTGGAAGATTGGCTTTTAAAAATTAGCACAGTCTTTGTTGTTGTTTTTTGGTAATTAGACTGCCTTTAAAAATTTACCAAATCTTTATCTTAGGAAGATAAAAGGCCTGGAAAGAGTCTTCAAAATAGATTTTGGAAGCTTTATGGTCAATAGAATTGTATTAATTTATTGGCCATAACTAGGAAAAAAATGAGTGGAAATTGAGAGACGTGTTGGATAACTCATTGTAGGAACCTTTGATAATCTCTTACAGGCCTTACATCCTCAGGAAGTGAGGCAGAGTATCATCAAAGAAGGAAGTGGGAGTCAGGACTTAGACATTTTATTCTCATACACTTGACTCATTAATAACACTAATTGTGTCTTCTAAACTTCCACATCTTTAACTTACCAAAAGAGAATTCCTACCTGGGAGGGTGTGGTGAGGATTAGCATAATTAAAGTTGTTTTAGCTGCCAAAGTATCTTCTCAGGTGATGTGAAGTATTTTATATACTATAAACAGCATCTCTTTTCAAATATCTCGTACTTTGTAGTCAGAAAAAATACATAGATGTGTCCAGCCAAAAAATGGTGGAAAACTAAACTCTAGCTGTATAGTAGCTATAGGATTTTAAGGAAGATGGTTACCAAGGAGTACAATTTTAAGAAAAATTCAAAAAAAGAAACTAGTATTTCCTAACTTCAATGTGACCTTGAAGTTCTCACAGTTCATCAATTTTCCCTTCTATGAAATGGGAATAATTATACCTTACTAAAATAACACGTCCAGCAGAGTCTGGCCTCTACTATGAGACCCTTAAATTCTAGTGGAATCTAAGTGGCTTTTGAAGAAAGATACGCATCTAAATAATGGTAATTTGAATGTCGATATGTTTACCAGAAAACTTTGAAAATGTCGATCTCATTACTGAAACAAGTGGAAGTTCAATGTTTAAATTGTGTTAACTTTAAGTATTTTTCTCAAAATAGGCTTTACTATGGTGAAATACCAGCGCACTGTCTCCTAAGTCACTTTATCTAACTATCATAAGATTGATGGAGTGAGTCTTTAATAAACTGTACTAAATAAAGAGAAATATATAATGTGGAACTAGAAGATTTTTATTATCTATAGTAAAAGATGAACTATCACTAGACTTAAACAGTATTTGGTTATAATTTATTCTAAGAAATGAAGTTACCATTAGTAATTGTAGAAAGAACTACTGAAGACCAAACCTTGGACTAATTTTTGTAATATTGGTTAATTTACATTTTTTTAGATTTATATGTAGGATTAGTTCATCTAATGATGCTGTGTGCATTCAAAATTGTTAAGAGTAAATAATTCTTCAGCCAAGTTGGTGTTAAAAATGGCAAATTTGGAGAGGCAGATGGGTGAAAGATTGGTGATCTTAGCTGTTTTAGCCCCTCGATTAAATTCTACCACATTTTCCGTAGCTTGGGAACCCTGTGTGTGTTATGGAAGCAAAGGAAAAACAATTATATCAAATCTGACTAGACCAAGTAAATGAATATAAAAGTAAACACTAGGGTTTTGATTTTATATATATCCTGTGATTGAAGAAATAATTTCTGCTTGAATCACTGTAGTTGTAAGTTCTCCCTTTGTTAACTGACTAAAAATGTGCCCTTTAGAATATAGTGATGCTTGCTTTGCAAAAAAGACCTTCTGTTTTCTAGAGTTAGTTACAGTTTAGGTGATTATGTCAAAATTTGGCAGTAGAGTTTTCTTTGTATCATACATTAGTAAGTAACAAGTTAACCAAAGTTAGATTAATTAATCATATTTGATTTGCTATGGTAGACACAGGGTTTGATCCCCATCTGCACCCAATACAAAAAATACAAAAAATAAATATTTACTTGATTTAAGTAGAACTATATACATATAATTTCTGTAAAACTAATGTTTCTTTTCTTTCTAGATATGCGTCCATGTGGAAAGGATGTCTGACACTTTATACTGGGAGGGGTGGAGAACTTCAAAAAATTGGGGAGTAAGTGTTAAATACATTTTGTATAATTGAATAAGTTACAAATAACGTGTAACTAAAAAACTGGTAGGTATAAACTATAAATCTATTTCTTGGTTTGTTTTTGACTGCTAAACAGAATGCCTTCAGCAATTTGAATTTAAAAATAACTTTCCCTGTATGTATAAGTTGAACTGCTGTCAATGCTGCTTTCTGTGGCTGAGCATGTTAGTTTTTCCTGGCAAACAGCATTAAGAATCTGTACTTGAGACAAGGCCTGGTGGGACTATTTCTGTAGGCTTTGGTAATGTATACTTTTCAGGTGCCATTTGAAGTAGGTTCTGTCTTCTAGTGAATTGCCAGATAAACTAACTATGGGTTTTAGGCATGAGTTTAAATTGTCTTTTTTTTTGTTTGTTTATGGGTGAATATGTACTCACGGTAAAAGGACTTGTAGCAATGACAAATGAAGTCCTGTATTTATCCACAGTCTAGGTGCCGTACAGGCTTTGCAAGCTTCCATGCGCTACTTACTACCTTGGTAATCTTCACCCTGACTTGGAGGAGCCATCCTCTCTAGGGGTGTAAAGGTAATTCAGCATACATGCTAGCCTAGACATTTGTGGTATACTCGTAAAGTCTGATGTGGGCACTAAGGTAAATTGTTAGTCTATTCCACTTGGTTAATGCTTAGACATTTACTTCATGCCCATCAGTGTAGAGGATATTTAAAGAGAAGCCACAGTGGCACCCAGTCAGTCAATCAATCAATCAATCAATCAAGGAAAATTCTTCCTTAATACAAGGATAAGATTGTGTGGAAAAATAAACAATCTTGCTAGCTTTTAAAGATAAGAAACTGGTAACACTGCCTCTCTAGGAGGAAAATTAGGATTCACTTATGTTTTATGTTTGCATTTAGAGTAGTACTAGAGCAGGGATGTCAAACTCATTTTCACCAGGGGCCACATCAGCCTCGCGGTTGCCTTCAAAGGGCCAAATGTAATTTCAGGACTGTATCAGTGTAACTACTCTTCAACTAGGGGCAAGGAGTCAGCGTTGCTGCTGGGTAGAAACAAGGTGCCGGGCCAGATAAAATAAGGCGGAGGGCCAGATTCGGCCCTCGGGCCTTGTGTTTGCCACCTGTGTGTTAGAACAATGTGTTATGAAAGAGCTTAATATCATTATTACTGAAAGATTAGGATTGTGTTCTCACCTTCATGCATGGAGAAGTATTTATAATAATGGAATCAGTTAAGTGGAGAACCACTGCTTCCCCGTTCTTAGTGACTTAACTTTATCAGGGCCAGTCTGGCATTTACCAAAACTAGTTCTAATTTCTTGTGGGATGAGGATCTTGTGTGAATGTTAATATATGCCATAGTCAATTCATAAGCGTCATTGGGATAAACTCATTTTGAAAGCCACTTGTCTTTATTCATGTCTGCAAGAATCCAGTCTTAACCTTGAATGATTATCTTTGCAGATTCACAGTGAATGGTCCACAGTGAGGGGGACCGGATGAGAGTGTGTGAATGGATCCGTGCTAATCCATCACCACTGCCGGAAAAATCTCTCTGGAACCCTAAATATGGTTCAGTGGCATCGGCCTAGGGGGAAAACAGGACAAATGTGTTTCTGTGTCCTTGATCTTTGACATGGTGTATTTTTGCGGTACTGAAGAATTAAAATACAAAATAGAATGTTTCACACATTATAGACAATCAAATATTTAATGCTTTAATGGACATAAGTACTTAGGAAGTTTCTGTTATAAATGAATAAAGTTAGTTGGCATGTTGTTTTTCAGTTAATTCATTTGACACCTAAATTTCTCATCCCTATAAGTTATGCTTGTTATATAAAGAGAGGTTGAATACTTCATTTCAGAAGTCATTTAACTTGTCTTTAATTTTTTTTTCAGATTTTGTATGGTTTATTCAGAAGTGCCAAATTTCAGTGAACCTAACCCAGATTACCGAGGACAACAAAACAAAGGGGTAATTAATTTAAATGTGTAGTCTGTTTTTATGATTAGGCTAATTTTGACTACATACTGTAATTCCATGGGGGGGTTGCCACCGCTCTCATACCCACAGTATATTGAAGACAGTGTATTGAAAAAAAGGAATTTTTCTTTTTTCAGCTATCTGTTGCCTTCTAAGTTAACCAATTTCTAGAGAGACAATTAGGACCCTTTACAGCCTAGCTCCACCTACTTTTTTTTTAAAGATTTTATTTATTTATTTTTGGAGAGAGGAGGAGGGAGGAAGGCAGGGAGAGAGAGAAACATCAGTACCTCTTGGAGGCCTCTGGCCCACAATGCAGGCATGTATCCTGACTGGGAATCGAATGGTGACCTTTTGGTTCGAAGGCTGGCTCTCCATCCACTGAGCCACACCAGCCAGGGCAGGAATGTTTTTTAAAAGTCATTTGTACTCTGTATGTTTTGTGAGTCTGAGTATGTATCTGTAATGTCATATATTAAGTATATGTGCCATTTAGCAATTTGAGGAGTGGGGAATAAGTAAAACTAGGAAATAAAAATAAGGTAAAAGGTTTGGTATACATTCATTGATTGGACTTGGATAAGTCTTTAAAAAATTGTTTAAGAAAACTTTAAAAACCAAAAAGAGGGAATGGGTCCAACATGTTATAATAACATTAATAACATAAATGTATTTTTTTAAAATACTCATTTGGTTAAATTAAATTTTTTTCTAGGCACATAGTGAACAGAAGAATAATTCCACGAATAGTAATATGGGTACAGGTACATTTGGACCAGTGGGTAAGAATTTTTTTTTTTTTTTGCATAACTGTAATCAGAGAAAATATTTTTTGAATGCTGTAGAGGAAAATACTGCTTTAGGCATAAATTAGTTCTAAAAGGGAGCTACTGGTAAACAGGGAATTCCCAAATAGCTAATTTTCTAGAAAGCAGATACCCTCTTTAACTAATTTATTGAGCACATTCTATATTTAAACATTTGGGCCAGCCACTGGGAATACAGTAGTGAACCTTAACTAATAATATAGAAATCTAGGATTTGGTGACATGTTGTTATTTTTTCATTTATTGTTGTAAAATATTTGTGATTTGGTGGTTATTAACAGATGCAGAATTACTGGTTATTGTTATACACTGAAAGCCTTTTATCTTCAGACTAATAATGCACCTTAATAGCCTTTTCCCTTCAAATACCCTCAGATGTCATGTTAATGGTTCTTACAGCCATGTTAAAGGTTTTTTGACGTCTTATGCTTAATAACTGAGGAAAAGTCTTCGGTGATCAGAGTTCACTTAAGGTGGTTATCATTTATTTGAACTGATAGCTCCATGTTTTGGCACAGTGGTGATCATCACATTGTGGGAAAACATTTTTTCCTTTAAAAAGTTAGAATGACATGGTCTCTTTTGAGATGTTAGTAAGCGTATTTGAACAAATGCACTAGCACTCTCATGCCATTCACCCTTCTTTTCCCTTATAATGTGTAGGCAGTGCATTTTTCTTCTCAACCAGTTTTTCATTCTGTTGCCCAAGTTGCTTTCTGTTCTTCTCTCTGTTAATGCAGCCTTATGTTAATATATTTACAGTAGTCATAGGTTTGAAAAAATCCTAGAACCCACCTTGGGTTTTTTCCAGTAGTTTAAAAATAAAGGTACTTGTTTTCCCTAATATTACTTGTAAATATTAATAGCATGGGTTACAACTTCAAATAAGTGTGCCTCTATGGATGAGTGATGAACTTTTATATTCTAAAAATGGTGATGAATTTTTATATTCTTTTTTAGGAAATGGGGTTCAACCTGGCCCAGACTCAAGGGGATGTCAATTTTCATATGCTGGTAGAAGCAATGGCCCGGGAGCTATAAATCCACAGCTACCAGGAACAGCTAATAATCAGACAGTCATTACCACAATAAGTAATGGCAGGGACCCGCGGAGAGCCTTTAAAAGATGACCTATGCCAAATACTCACATGTAGTTTTTAAACTACGTGTCCTACTTGAACACTTACTGCACTTTTATTTATTGTTAACTGTGAAAACTGTGTTCTTTATCAGTTTCTTTTTCTGTTTTTGGTTTGTTAACGAAAGTGGTTTGTTTTTATAGCAAAACTGTTAAGCTGCTCAAATCTCCTGTTGAAGATGGGAATACGCTGAAAGTAGGGGCATTTATTTCTAGAGCAAAAGTGCTTTTGGATATCCTCTAAAAAACCCGCACCCATTTCATGGGTGAGTTACTTAAGACATCAGCATTATAGCCTCTATGAGTCTATCTTCTGCATACATTTTGTAATATTTAAAATAAGGCTTAGTGGGAAATGTACTCTGTCTTAAAGTCAGATATTGCCAATTAAAGTGATAACCACCAAAAAAACAACAAAAACTTGATCAGTGCTAGCAGTGATTTGTAAGCGTTCATGACTCCAGGAATGACTAACCTCTTCATTGGGTGACTGCCATTAAGATTTTCCAACTACTGGATCATCCTAAACTCTTGTTTTATTACCAAGGAACACATTCTTTACCAGAGTTACAGATTAGAATGTGATCAGTAGTATAACAAGTGATTTTTAGAAAGCCACATTTACTTTATTTTAGGGTGGTCCTTTATCTTTGTTATCAACTTTATGCTTTACACTGAAGGAAATTTAAAACTGAGGCTTTGGGTATTTATTTTTTGAAACTATCATGTTAAATATTAAAGTATAATTTGAGGGAGTTATAAAGTCATAATAAACGATCTAATTTGTTAAAAGTTATGGGCAGTAAACATAGTGAAGGCAATTCAAATTGAATTCACGGAGAAATATGCCGTCTTAGGTTACAGGATCCTAGGTACTTGTAAAAACTCAGCCTGGAGTAAAAATCCTAGGTACGTACTTTATTTGAAGGGTGTGTTGTGTGCGTGTGTGTGTGTGTGTGTGTGTGTGTGGTGTATTAAAGTTTCTGAAGAAAATTTACAAAGCCTTATCAGCAATAGTTAAGAAATGGCTCTCTCAGAAGCAAATGCAGCTTTATGCAGAAATGGAAAACCAGAGTTTATTTATGTGTTGTGAATGGTCCCCAGTTCCACTTTCTATTGTGGGGTGGATAACTGGTCAAACTTTCCTTTGTTAGCATTCAGCTCTTTTTATTATCTCTTGAATAAAAACTTGCATTAATGTTAACAGACCTACCTTACTTTGCTCTTTCAGTGGTTTACGGTGGAGAAGCCAGTACATTTTACTGTAGCTGTAATGGTGATTTCAACCTGGTGAACACCTAGCTCTGCATTTGTTGCTTTGTCTTTTCCCCTCACCTCAAATCACAAAATTATTTAAGTAGACTTTGTTTCCTGAAAATTCCATAGTGTTTGAATATAAAATTTGTGCCAGATTTATTTATTTATTTATTTGTGCCAGATATATTTATTTGTTTGTTCTAATTCAGTGTAGCTGACAAATATTTCAGTACCTGTAATGTGTTAGGCACTGCGAGGGAAAGTTAAGGGGCAGATGAAGTAATGAACGATATTAAGGAGCTTATTTATGGTTTATAGTACTTTGGTAACTGGGGTTTTATATACATGGTGGGGCAAAAATAGATTTATCGTTGTGAGTACGTAAAGATTTATTCTTATATTGTTAATTATTGTATTTTTCGTATAAATAGCTGTAAACCTCTTTTTGCTCCACCCTGCATTATAGAAGTTCTTCCTTTACTACTGATGATGATAGTTAATTTGGCTTTATGACTAATAGTTTCTTAAGATGTTTGCAAAATCACAGATATTTGGAGTAAGTAAAATTATTACAAATTAGTATATACTTTTTTCTTTTAAATCAAGTAGCGGTAGGAGCAATAACAGTAATTATTTATGGACGAATATAGTGTTAAAGGTGATTCAAAAGAAATTTTGGAGTTTTGCAAAATTTAGAATATAAGTATGGGGCACTGAGCTTCCAGTTAGGCCTCGTTATCTCCTCACTTGTGATGATGGGCAAGTTGTTATATCTGAAAACTCTGTAAGCTTTAGGCTCCACAGCTGTGAAAACAAGTCATGTTACCTCTTTGTAGCATTATTGAAGATTTTCCATGTAAGTGATTCGAATGGTTTCTGACACATAATAAGCAGTCAGATATTTGTCGTGTAATTGTACCTTAAGGACAAAAAATGCAGGGTTCGGTGTGGAAGTATCGATACCTTTTAACATGGTGAGATTACATAGAGAAAGACTTCAGCTTACACTTTTGTAACTGACACTTGTCTTAATAATCTAACTGTGTTCTGTTTTTTTAATCATTTATTAACAGATTTCTTTTTTCTTAAGGGAAGCCTCTAAAACGAAAGCAAAGTGAGTTCAGTCCATAATGAATATGTGGCTTACCCGTCTGCTGGGACAAACTCAACAAGAAGAGGAAGAGAGTTTCCTACCTTCCTCCTTCCTGGTGCTTTCAGCTTTCAACTTATTTTTAAATGTTTAAACACCTACTGAAAACAAAAACCACTTAGTATAGAAATACATGCTCCCAGGATTGGGTCCTATTTTATTTCTACAAACAGCCCTGAAGTGGATGACATCTCGTCAGCCAGCTGGCCCCTCCTGTCTGGTCAGGTTCTTTGGGGGAAATTGCTACAGTACAGAAATAGAAAAATGAAACCCACGAGGCCAGGTGACGATGTGTAATAGTGTGTGCTTTCCCGCAGCATTTAGGCAGATAGTCCCCTAGTGTACCAACGCCTGTGCTTCGTTCCTGTAGGTTCAATAATTCCGTTTGAATCTGAGGACAGTTGAACTTGGAGATGTCCTGAACACCTACAGTACTATTTGTCACTTGTGTTTTTGTCACTTAATACGTAAAAAAAAAAGTTTAATTTGCTTGGTTGAGTAATAATGCCAAAGAAATGATGGCAGAACACAAATAGATGTGAGATTAGTAAAAAAGGAAAAGGTAATTTATGATATGAGAATGTTTAAAGTATAGTAAGGAGGATAACTGGTCTTCAAAGGTACAAATGGAGTGTTTTACATCAATCTAGAGACACAGTGGCAATTCAAGTTTATAGAGATTTGCCATTCCAGTTATTAATAACTTCCCTTTTATGGTATCATTAATGTAATGACTCCTTGAAGCAGTTTGAGGTTGCCATGATTCTTAAGATTCTTTATAAAAGTATTTGGAATGGTTCTAGATAAAACACACCTATGAAAACTATGTGAGAACACTATCAACATGGAACAGTTTTTCCAAATTTAAGTCTGTTGTTACCTCTAGGCATATTGGGATTACTTGCCCTGTAGTAGCTTTTTAATTTTTTATTATTTTTATTGTTGTTCTCTTACAGTTGTCCCAGTTTTGCCCCACTGCTCTCCCCTGCCTTGTGCCCCACAGCCACCTGCTCCCAGAGTCAGTCCTCACTGTGCTGTCCATGTCTATGGGTCATTCATACTTGTTCTTCAACTAGGCCCTTCCTGATCTTTCCTCCCTTATCCCCCTCTCCCCTCCCCTCCGGTCCCTGTCAGTCTGTTTTAAGTCTTTTTCCTGTTCTTTGTTTTATCCCCTGTCTGATAACAGTCTGAACATTTCCGGTAGAAAAGGGTCACAGTTGTTCCCCACTGTGTGTTCTCTGGTGGGTAAAGACAGATGGACTTGGCCACAGGGCATCTTTGTATTGAGGTCCCTAAATGTTCCAGTAATTGAGTTGTCTCACATTTCACAAAGTAGTTTATAATAATTAATATTTAGGTAAGTTCCTGAGAAAATGTAATTATGACCTTTGAAATAGAGCACTATCATGTTAGGCCCCAAGGGAAGAAGCTAGAAAAATATTTTACTTTCCAGGTATATTCAACTTTTATCCATATTCCTTGACGTTTGCATTATTAGGGATGCACCAGAGTTTATTCAGATTCTGTAACCAAATTACTTCAGGTTTCTGAGCTAAAAGCATCTATAATGGTTTCTCAAAGTGCAGTGGAGAATAAACACCGAGAGAATCGAGACCAGCCTATCCAACATGCCATTTATTTCACATTTTTTTCTTAAGGACCTGAGAGCTATGCACCACTATAAGGTGACTAGTGTGATGTAAAGGAAATGAACATTTTAACAAATTTGACTACAAGACGTTTCAATTAAGTCTCGAAAGGCCTTGAGAGGTAACACAATTTTGCGGCTCCCCAAGTGTGAAGAACAAACATGCCAACCCAGCGCTTGGTGACCAGCTGTTGCACTCACACAGAGCCCAGGTGTCCCGAGACCGTTGGCACTGCGGCCCTCCCTGTCACACTGTGTGTCTGACAGCCTCAGGTGGAGGGCTCCTGACACGTCTTCAAAAACCAGTTCTTCCCCCACTTCCCATCATAAGTTCAAGTCAGTTTTTTTTACTCCATCAAAATTTATGCTTCTGCACATAAGAGTCCAGTTTCTCAGTCCCTATAGCAACCATATCTTGGATTCAAAGACTGGTTATATACCACCCATGAGAGAGTTGCCCCAGGACTTGTTAGAAGCATGACACTCTGTCCCAGAAAGAATTGTAAGTCTAGGCCTGGCAGAGCTGCACTTGAAAGACTGAAGAATTTTGTCTCCTGCCCTTAATGTGTCCTTGTGGCACAGAAATAACTTTATTTTGAAGCATATATATGCTTTTAGCCTTTGTGAGGCTCAAAAAATTGTAAAACCTAGAACTTTTTATTGTGAAAGTTGGATTGTGAAAGTACGATTGTGAAAAATGATACTTGAAAGCATGTGCCTCCAAAGGGCAGAATTGAGGGGTAACGCAGGTTGTCCCAAGCAGAATAGAGGCTAAGTGTGTCCTTTGGGTGTGAATACTGTGTGTGTTGAATTAGGTTCAAGTAGGATCATCTAAGTTACATAAATGTTGAGATCAGAATATAGTGGAGTCACCCTAGCTTCATCTGGGCCTACACAGATCAAAGAGAGTTCACTGTAGTTTCTCTTATTTTTTTAAACAGATTTTATGTCTCTGAAAATACATTTGCAGCATTGCCTACCTCCTTGTATTTCCTACTTTATTATGTGGAAAGAGGCTGGCCAAATTGAAAAGTAGTTGGGTTGGAAGTATGATACACATTTCTGAGAATGCCATATGGGGCTAGGTTCATTTCAAATATAACTAGTAGGAGAAAATGACCTCTGACCTAAACCACTGGACTGCTTCAGATAGAAAATGAAAACGGTAGCCAACACAGGTAGCGCCACCTACTGGGAGGTTACTATATGGTTTCTGTAGTTTAGGAATCTGGTTTGATGGAAAAATTTCCAATATTCCATTGGATAAGAATTTTTGTCTGTTGGTTTAAGCACGATATGGAAAGTCATTATGGGGTAGTTGGGCCATCTGATTCTAGTGGATGAACAGGCAACACTGACATCAAAAGTAAATTCCCCTCAGATAAGCAGGTTTATTAAACCTGGAACTGCCCCTAGAGCTACAGAAAATGGGAAAACTTGTCAAATGTATTTGTTACATTTGTCAGTAATACTGTGTAGAGTGTAAAGTTAAAAATACCTTTTAATAGATGGTGTTTTGGACTAGAACAGGAAATTGCCCTTACAAATTTTATTCCTTTACCAGTGGTGTTTTCTAAAATCCTGGCCAAATGACTGCTCTTATATTAACTTTAAATATCAGAGACGTGCTTTGGCTAAAAGAACATGGTTTTGAACCAGTGAGCTTCTAGGTGGATTCCTGGATCTTCTGTTTATCGGCTTCCTGACCATGAGCCTCCTTATAAAATGATAGTGGGATGCATACTTGCAGGGCTGTGAGGATGATAGGAGCCAATGTATGCAAAGCATCTGTTCCACCTCTAGGGCTAAAGAAATGTTAAGCTCTTTCCCCATGAGCAGTGGAAATGAGAGGCAAATGCTGGCCACTTCTCCATGCCATTATTAAAAGACAATCAAGTGCAACTAGGGTCCCTCCCTCCCTCCCTCCTTTTCTCTTTCTCTCTCTCTCTCTTTAAATATTCAGGCTTTTACAGTTTTCTTGGTACAGAAAGGTGTGCTGCCTACTTAACCATGACAGCATGCAGAGTTCAGTCTACATCACAAAGATCTGCTCAGTAGCCGAATACCCTGCGCTGTTTTCCATTCACCTTTGCCCAGAGAGCGAGGGCATGGTTATGAAGGTGCAGAGGAAGAGGGACAGCATGTGGGGCAGG